TCAGTGACAGTGGGTCATGTGTGAGCAGATGCTGGAGGTGGTGCCCAGAGGCTCCAGAGCCCTGCTTGCCTCAAGCCATGGCACTTTTTCACTGAGGTCAGTGTGGGCATGGGGAGCCAGGTAACAGGAATGCCACAGGCTTCAAGCTCCACCACTACATCCAAGAAGCAGAGCTGCAGTGATCACGTGTGTTCCCATCTGTCATTGTTTTTTGGCTCTGCTCATCTGTCTCTGCTCTGAGTTGTGCAAATGGGCAAAGTAGTTTTTTTTCTTTGGCCAAATCTTTCATCTACAGGCTTCTGTGCATTTTGTGTGTACCTGTTATGGTGGCTATAGACCTCTGGTTTCTGTAAGCCACCTGTAAGGGTTGCAGAGCCCTGCCTCAGCCCTGCTCATAGCTTGCTTATCCTGAGCAACTCCTTTTCAAAGGGTTTACTGGACACAAATAAAATAAAACTTTTAAAGTTCAAGTCTATTCCTTTAATTTCAGGATTATCACTAATTCGAGCTACTGTCTTCCAAAACTGGAAGGACAAACTTCTGGCAGTGCATTTGATGAATGGTGTAGAAAAATGCGGATTGTGCCTTTCATTTGAAGAAGCCTTCCTGTCTGAATGGAGCACTGTATTTCACATCCTAATAACCATTTATTAGCACAGGATTTAAGGAAAGTTAGCTTTTCGGTTCTGTATAAGCCTTTCTATTCATTGAGGTTTCATGAGGTAGCCAAGTGATTTTTCTACCACTGACTGATTCCCAGCTGCTCTAATGAGCAAATGCTCCTCCTGAGACTCAGCTCTCCCCTTGCACGTGATGATTCACTGGACACCCAGTGAATTTAATTCTGAACTGGACTGAAATAATTTTATCTTTCTACAAGTCCTTGAACAACCCAATCTAAGTGGACCTGCTTTAACCAGATGTTCTCCTGATGTCCTTGCAGACCCAAATGTTTCCATGACTGCAGCTGGGATTGCTCCAGCTGCTCTTGGGAGCAGACTTGCAGAGGCACAGACCAGACCCCTTCAGGGTCTGAAATTTGCAACTAGCAGTTAAGGGAAACAGTATGGGCTTTTCATAATAAATTTTGCACTATGGAAACATCTGGATGTCCTGATTTATCCTTTATCAGTGAAGCAGACAGTTCTCCCAAATAGTTTTATTAAAGTTTATCTCTCTCTGACTGTTTGTGAATAGTGTTTAGTTTAAAATAGTCAGTGCCTCCATTATTACTGTAGAAACACAGCTATAAGCAAATGCAACTATAAATCAACTGATGACTTGGACAGAAAAAAACCAGATTTGCCTGGAACCTCAGCAGGCAATGGAAGGAACTGTTTCCCTAAGTTTTCACTGGTATCTGACCTATATCCTGGTCTTGGCTTGTCAGAGACAACGTTAAATATTTCTCTCCATAGAAAACATAATCATTATGAATAACAAAAAGTGTTGATTCTCTCATGTTCTATTCTCTGTTGATTCTCTGTTTCCATTGTGTAAAAATACATTTCCTATAGTAACATTAAGAACTGCCATGTGCTTATTCAGAAACATAGAATTAACATTTACCGTCAGGATTTTTTTTTCTCAGGCTCAAAAAATGCTGTCCTCATGTATGTGAACACGGGAATTCTCTTCTGCAGACAAGTCTCTGAAGGGTGAGCACATGCCCCAAATTAGATTTTAAGATTCAAATATTAATATGTGTACCTGCAAAGTACTGCTGTGGCTATAATGCTTTTATAATTTTATTGAGAAGCTACTGGAATATATTTTTTTTTTAATAGGTGTATCTGTGCTAGTAAAGTAATAAAATAGAGGAAGAGATGTTTTGGATTTTTTAAAATATTATTCATGCTATATGAATAATATATTTAAATTAAGATGTGTTAGAAGGGACTAAGACCACAATCCCACTGATTTTTATGCAGTTCCAAAGGTTTTTTTGGTGGAAGAAGTTGGAATCAATTTCTTAAATCTGTAATAAATTACCAAAGAGCTCGTACTTTGGTTTTCTTCCACAGCAGTACAGACAGCTCTTTGTCTCCTTGATCAGACAGGCAGCCTGCAAAGAGCCATTTGAAAAATTCAACAGTTTTCTCTGATCTCAGCCTTTTACACCAACTTACAGCTCACCCTAAAATGTCAGTAATAAAGTGAACAAGATCTAAAATGATGACCTCCACAGTTAAAAGCACCAAGGACAGGTTGGCAAGGAGGCTGAGTGTTGTGATGCTGAGCACTGCAGTGCTAACCTCGAGTGCTCTGCTGTTACCCACGGTACAACAACATGCTCCCCAGAGTGATGCAGAGATCAGGCTGCCAGCCAAAGTCAAAATCCCCAGACATCCTCAGAACAGGGAAATGTATGAAGCAATAAGAGTTAAAGGCAGATGAAAAGTCCAAGTCTTGGCACTTACCTTACTGGGCCTCTTTTGTCTCAGGATCCTCAGCCTCAAACTTTCTGTAATGTTTAGACACCTAAGTCTGGTGCTCCTGGTTCCCTGCAGTTATCTCACACTGGAAAGACTAAGGACTGAATAACAATTGGATTGAATAACAAACACTCACTGGCTGAATTCAAACCAGTGTGCTAACAAACAGTATTCATAAACTGGAATAGTTTGGACAGGAAAGGCAGAGAGACCCAGTGACCCCATGGGCAGTCCCTTGAATTTAAATATGTTATAGCTGAGGTGAATGGAAACACATGTGTGTATGGGAACATCCTCCTCTCCAGACTTGTGTGTCTGGATTTTTGGGATGCTGAGAGGCTGTGTGAGGGGGAAAGCAGCTCAAGCTGCAGCAGAGAGACTGCACTCATGCCATCAGCCTCATCTATGGGAATCTGTGGTTCAAGATGCATTGGCTGTGCCACAGTGACCTTGTGTGAGCCTGCCCAGGCTGTGCAGGAGCAGACTGGCCATCTGGGAGATTTTAGTGACATTAATAACAACTCATAATATGTGCTGATATGTTTGTGAGGCCACACATAAAAGATAAACCCTATATCATATGGCAGGATGGATAAAATGAAAGAATCACTAGTTGATGTAATACGGATCATGGTCAGAGGATGCTCAGGCAAGTTTATTATCATTCCTTTGAGCTGCTAAGTAGTTAAGACAAAGTAGATCAGTAGTTCTGATTCAGTTTCAGTATCTCACCAGCATTTGGCAGTGGTTGGTGCCCTCAGAAGCATTTAAATGTATTAGAAGACCACAGAGCATAATCCTAACAGATGGCAAGGCTTGCTTGGGCTGAAGAAGGCTAAGGAGGATGTTGACATTTCTGTTTTCCAGATGGAAACGCACACTGCAAGTCAAATGAGTGCTAGGAGCTGCACAATGCACTCACCAGAGCTCAAAGCAGATGTCCCACTGTTGTTTGCTAAGACCTTCTCTTACAGTGCTCCTCAGTTTGCTTCCTCTGGCAAAGCCATTTGGGTTTTCAAAGCTTCTAAACCACACTCAAACATACGGTGAGCTAACCCAGGTGGGGAAATAATTGTGAACATCCATGCAAATTTTGTTCTCTAAAACCCTGAGTGATTGCCTTAGGAAGGTGTGCAGTGCTGCTGCACTGTGTACTTCAGCTGCTGCACCTTGCCTGAGGAAATTAATTCTGTAATGCAGAAGTTTGGCACTCTGTGAAGGGACACACCTTAGCAACAGGCTGTGTTGATGCTGAGGATCCCCAGCCCTTGGTAAGGACGCTTGTGTGAACATGCAGGTGACACAGAAATCAAACATTACCGCCTTCACAGCACTGCCACCAGCCCAGAGGCAGCAGGGTTTGCTGGCAGCACTGAGCAGTTGCTCAATGAAGCCTCTGCCTGTGTGTGTTTGTGGATGCTGACTGAGGCTGTCACCAAAGCAATTGTTACAATTAAGGGTTTACATCATTCCATAAATTTTCCCAGCTGGTTTAGGGAACCATTATTATTTAGCAGCTGTTTTTTTGAAGTTGGCAGGGTGCAACGCTGCCCTTCTTCGCAAGGTAGGAGCCCTCACCTCAGCAATGTGGCTGACGTCAGTCCCAGCTCTCAGGACAGCGTGTGACGGGGCTGATGGCAGCAGTGGGACTGACCTGTGGTGTAGCTCTCACTTCACTGCTATTGTTCCACCAGCACAGACGTGGAAAGGGGAGAAAGGCAGAAGTGGCTTAAAGTGCAGAGCCACATGAAGGGGTTCAGTCTACACAAAAATGTGGTTCCACGCAGCCTGTTTGAATGACTCAACTTCTTGTAGCATTCTTTCCTGCAGGAGAAATGTGTGGTTTTGTTAAATACTTCAGGAAAAAAAAAAAAGTGTTAAAGCTTATCTCCCCCTTCTGGAAATTCTACCTCTATAAATTCCACGTGGCTTGCAGTATACAGAAGCTACCTCTCAAACACTTGTTATTTCTATCTTGAATTCTTGAGGTCATATCACATCCTTTATTTCACAGTGCTTTTCAAGTCTAGAATGATGAAAAGCAAAGTATGATTTCGAATGAAAGCAGTATGGGATGGTTTACACTGGGTGGCCAAGAACTTCACTTCTCTTGCTAAATTGGCAATGTTCAGCCTGGCAATACCAAGTTTTTCGAAAAAGTCCAAAATCCTCTATTGTTCAGAAGGATTTTGTGTCCTTACCTTGACTTTTGTTAAAGCGAAATCTGCGACCGATGCCCAGCTGATACTTGATCACAGTTTCCCCTCGCGGTGCACCAGCATCCCGCTGTCCCGCTGGGCGGTTTCTTGCAGACACAGCTCCTTCATGGGAAAGGAGCCACCGAGTGCCGAGCAAACACCTGAAGACGTGGAAGGGAACTGCCTGGGGCTCCGGGAGAGCCGGGCATGGCCCCGCAGCGCTGCCGCCGCCCGGCTCGGCCCGGCCGGGGGCTCCGGCCTGGCCCGGGGACAGCTCGGCGGGGCCGGCCCGAGGGGGCGGGAGCCCCCGGCCCGTGCCAATGGCTGAGGGGGGGTGGCTCTGCCGGCCGTCTCGCTCGGTTACAGGATGGAAATTCCCGGCCTCCCCGGGGAGGGAGCTGGGGCTGCGCGCTCTGAAAGGCTCATTTATCGCCGCGCTGCCGCCCAGAGCCGGGACCCGGGCTGCTGCTGCCGCCGGCCCCGGCGCATCCCGCCCCGCACCATGCCCCGCGCCCGGGCCCCGCTGCTGCTGCTGCTGCTGCTGCTGCTGGCGGCGGCCCCGCCGCACGGCGGCTCCGAGAGCCCCAAGGGGAAGCAGAAGGCGCTCCGCCAGCGGGAGGTGGTGGACGTGGTGAGAGCGGCGGGGCCGGGGCCGGCAGCGGGGCGGGCGGAGGGGCTGGGGGAGCCGTGCGGACGGGGGGTGGCTGGAGGAGCCACGCAGCCGCTTTGTTATTGCAAAGATCTGAAAAACGCCAAAGATCCGAGGCTTTCGGAAAACCTCGCGGCCGCTCCAGGCGGGGCAGCGCCGGTCCCGCGCCGCTGGGCATCTCTGGGGTCAGTTAATGACGCCCTTGTTGTGCTGAATCGGGGAAATGCGGAGAAGGCGCTGCACGGGCTTTGACACAAGCCGCAGGGTTTCGGCGGCCCGGAGTGTGTTTGGGAGCTTTCCCGTCGGGCCAGGGCCCGGGATGGCGGCGGGAGCCGGCGGAGCCCGCACTCCCCGCCGTGCCCGGAGCCGGGGGACGCCGCGGGGCAGCCGGGGCAGCGCCCTGGGCTGGGCAGCGCAGCAATCCTACAGCCCTTCCAACATGAGTAGTAAATGCTGCTTAGTGCCTTCCAACATAAGCACTTAGCTGCTGTTTAGCTCCTAAAATGCTAGTGGATAAATAGTAATGAGAAAAACTATCTGCCTGCTCTGAAAATTATCTGCATGCTCGCCGAACACCCTTTTCCTTGGAGTCGCATGAATGCATTATTTCCTTTGGCGGCAGGGACTGCACACCATTGTTTGCAATTCCATTGCTACTAGAAACCTGAAAGCATTGGGACTATCCCATCTCAGGGATAGATGACAGGAGAGAAATTTTCCAGTCCTTGGAATGTAGAAAGCAGATGTGAAGGTATTTCTGTGAGTTGCTGGACTGCCGTTCATCTTCTGTAGAAAATCAGTGGTATGACCATTTCTTCCATGATCTCCAGAGAGATCCCCTAAAGTGGTGTGCTGGAAGCACCACTGCTAGCAAAGCTCCTTTCCCTTTCACACTACTTCATTGCCTTTTCACTTTTATTGTGCAAAATGAATTGCATTGAGAATCAGGAGTCTGTACACATGGATGAGCTAACATTTTCTGAGCAGTGTTTCAGGGTCCCTCATTTCTTTGAAATTGCTCGGTGCTTTTTGGGTGCAGCAGAGTGAGCAGCAAAGTGCGGATAAATCAATGGCAGCTGACTCATGCACAGCCCAGCTGTACAGACTGCTTCAGCAGAAGCCCTGCCAGGGCAGAGTGGAGGCAGGACCGAGGGGGGATCCTGCCTTCAGTGGATGTTTAAAGTATGTTTTATGCATTTCCAGCTTAAGAAAACATGAAAAAGACTTGACTTGGCAAGACAGACAGTTTTAGTTGGAGTGGAGCCCAAAGCCCAGGTGATTCTTGTGCTCCCATTTATTTTTTGGGATGTGCCATGGCTGAGGTGCTCTCCCTGTCTGGCTGTGGGTGGCAGCTCCTGTGTGAAGGCAGATCAGCCCTTCTTGGTGTCTCTGGGGGTGGGGGGCAATAGGCCAGAGCTTTGGCCTGCCCCAGCTCTTGCCTATTTCCACATGTAGGATTTCTGTGGTGAGTAACCACACGCAAAAGCCAGAGCCAGTCATCGTTACAAACAGAGTCCAGTGGGAAAGCAACAGCAAAACCAGATAGCTGTTGGTGTGTGAAATAGAAATGACCTTGCATTGTTCTCCTGGCTTGGTGTGTGCTTTGCCAACCAGCCTTCTCTCAGCTAACTTTTCTAAAACATGATTTTCTTCATGAAAATATTCCAATATTTCCACTGCCTTTAGCCAGCAGGGTTTTCTTTGTGAAGGTAGTAAGGGAAAGCTAACAACCATTAGTCAAACCCTCATCTGAATTCTTACCAGACCTCTCCATATAGTCACTGATTTTACTTTTGGTGTGGCTCCATCTAAGGCTGTGATGGCTCTGCTGGTTTTTGCACCAGAGCCTGTGAAAAGGCACAGCCTCAGTGAAGAATTCACCGGTCTGACAAGGGAAAGAGGGCAGGGGCTGTAGTTTACAGCTCCTGCAGTGCAGAGAGGGGCATGGCTGGCACAAGGGGGAACAGCTGCAGCACTGTTTGTTTTTGAAACAGATGGGGATTAGGTGGTTTAAACTAGATGAAGACAAAAAAAATGTGAGAAAGTGGAAGAGCAGAATACAGCTATCTGTGAGGATTTGGGATGAAGACTGGAGGAAGCAGTCAGTCACCAGACAGGACAGAGCACACGAAGAAAAAGCCATGGCCAGCCCCTGCAGGTTCCTGCTCAGCATTCCCATGCCCAGTGCTCCTCCCACATCCCAGCACTCAGGCTGCTGGGGGAAGGAGCTCTGGGCTTCACAGACCTGCTCTCCAAGGTGGGCAATCCCAGGTCTCAGAAGGTGAGAAGTCAATGTGTGTTAACATGGAGTTTGGGAGAGCAACATTTGACCTTTCCTAATACTGCGATGTTAGGAAGGATGTTAGTGTGCCTTCCTCCTCCCACATGTGCCTTCCCACTGTTACAAACAGGATTCCTGTTCAGCTTTATTCCAAGGTGCAGCTTCCCACACCCATATCACCATCCATTTGTGTGCATATTGGAGTCTGAATTGTGGGGCTTCATTATCACAATGTGGTTGTCACCTCCTCACCAGAGGAGCAGTGACAGAAGAAAAGTGGCATTAACCTTTGCTCTCTATGAAATGGAAAATCTTCTTTAAAAAAAAAAATACTGAACACGTATTAGCATAGAGAGTTATACAAGTAATGATGGGTTAGGAGAAAGTAACAATTAACATGTGACTTCTTTTTTTTTTTTTTTCTGTATTGAAATGTTTTGACTCTTGTGAGGTTTTCCAATAGATTTTAATTCTTGGACTAGGTAAATTTTTAATGCTAGGATTATGTATCTTTTCATTAAAAAAAGGCATCTTGTTTTACAGCAAATTCTGCTGGCACTGCTTATCTTTGAAAATTTGTTCTTCCTTTCTTTTTTTCCCTCTGTGGAACCGTTTTCTCAGAGATACAGAAATAGCCCATTGTGGCACAGGAGGGGGTTTGTGTTTTGTTGTTATTCACTTGTGTTTGGCTTGGTTAGCCTCAGAGTTGAGGGATGGAAGCAGCAAAATCTGTTCTGTCTTCCAGTATAATGGCATGTGCTTACAAGGCCCCAGTGGCGTTCCTGGACGGGATGGAAACCCAGGAGCCAATGGGATCCCTGGGACACCTGGGATCCCGGGACGGGACGGGCTGAAAGGGGAGAAGGGCGAGTGCATGCGTGAGAGCATCGAGGAGTCCTGGACACCCAACTTCAAGCAGTGCTCGTGGAGCGCGCTGAATTACGGCATCGACCTCGGGAAGATCGCGGTAAGCTGGCTCTGCACCGAGGGGCTGCACCAAGCACGGCGGGCTCCGGGGCTGCTCTGGGAGCTGGGCTGCACCAGCCCCACAGATTTCCTGCTGGGGCCTTATTCTGCATGCAAGGGTGAACTTCTCAAAGGATTAGCTACTTTGGATTGCTCTCAGCTGTGTTTCAGCTATGTGCCTATTTCATTCCTGGAACAGGGTTTCGGAAGAATTTTGTAACTGGTGTAATAGTACGTTCAGTAGACCAGATATGTAACTGTAAGGCTGAAAGTCACAGTACCAAAACAGTACCTCTAGCTTGCCCAAAACAGGGCAAGTTTCACCATTTCAATCCTAAGAAGGGGTGAACATCTTTAATCTGTTAATTGTACTCATCTTTATAACTCTTGCTTCATAGTGGTTATTCACTGAAACACAGCTGCAGTTGCAGGATGCTACTGCAAAGGATCAGCATTGCTCAGGAGCAGAATTGCCAGTGTCACCCAGACTGACACAAACAGTCTGTCCTCCACTGCAGCCCTGGGTGTAAAACTTCTAGAAAAAATCCCTGCTCAATCCCAGCTATGAAGCAAAGCCCAGAATAATTAGAGTGGTTTAACTGCTGTGCTGTGGCTAGAGGGAAAATCAACTTTTTCAGTAGACTTTTCTTACTGCCTGCCTTGTACTTGCAGAACTGTCCCTAGCTTCTTTTTTTTTTAATTTTCTTTTCCTTTAATTTCTTTTTTTTTTTTCCCCATGATATCAAGCATTTTGAAGACAGGTTAATGATCACTTAAAAACCTGAAAGTATTTATTTTTATTTATTATTTAGCTTTTATTGGGTATAAACTGCTCAGAAGTCTTGTGATAATCGTTAAGTCCAGGATTTCTGTTAGCAGAGACAGAAACTGTGCTGTTTGGTCATGCAAGGACTTGGGGGTTGGACTAGATGATCTTCAGAGGTCCCTTCCAGTCCTTATGATTGTGTGATTCTGTGGCTTGAGTGCAGCTTTCAGAGAGCTTATATCCCTTTTCATAAATCCCAGAAGGTAACTGGGCTACCAGCTTAACAGCAGGTGTTATCTAAATAAAGTTAAGAATTTCCATAATCCGTTTCTCCTTTACCATCTATGAGGAGCTGTTCTGATTTGCATCTTTGCACCACAAGGGATTTCCCAGGCTGTAATTTTTTTTTCCCCCCAGAGGGGCTGAAAGAGAATAGCCAAAACATTTTGAAATAAATATATTCCTAAATCGGTGTCCTAAATATAAATGTATAGAAAAAGAATGGGCTCAAGCCCAGAGGTTTGTACCAAAGCACGTTTGTCTCCTGTCAGGAATGCACGTTTACCAAGATGCGCTCCAACAGCGCGCTCCGCGTGCTCTTCAGCGGCTCCCTGCGGCTCAAGTGCCGGAGCGCCTGCTGTCAGCGCTGGTACTTCACCTTCAACGGGGCAGAGTGCGCTGGCCCGCTGCCCATTGAAGCCATAATATACCTAGATCAAGGAAGCCCAGAGCTGAATTCTACTATTAACATACACAGAACTTCCTCAGGTATGTATGCCGGGAGAGCGGAGATGGAGCAGAAGGCAGCAGCAGCAAACTCAGAGTGGCCAACTCACACTTGTTCTCTTACTCTGCTGTCTCAGAGTGGGCTGTTGATAAGTAACAGTATTATAATTATTTATTAAGTGGTACTTTCTTGCTGAGGTACTTTTCATGGTACTTATATCCTGAGTTTTAGAAATGGAAGAGATTTCTGTCCAGGCAGGTCTACTGATCTCTGCCACAACATGATTACAGAGACATTCTGTGCTGTATTAACCTGTGGAGAAGCAGCCTTACTGACAAGTAGACAGTGCCATCCTGGCTTAAAATACTGGTATTTGCACATTATCTGTGCAAAAGTGAGACTTTCCTCCTGCAATTTCTACTCTGATTTCAGGTGGAACGCAAAAGTACCTCCATAGTGAAATATCTGGGAGCAATTATTCATTTGCTTAGCAGAGGCAAATTAGTGAGTTCATTCACTTAGTGATATTAAGAAAAAGGAATGTAAAGTCTGTGTCCTTTCTCCATTTTCCTCCTTGTACTGTATGACTACATGAAGCCTAAGGTCTAGAGTTGTTTTAGGATTTTTTCAGCATAGGGGTAGAGCTGACTTGTACTTCACTACCCCACCTCCATCCAGTGGTGCCAGTGGAGTATCAGGAGGGCAACTGCATGTAGAAGCAGTGTGGAAAAGTGTGGAAAAGCTTAGAGGGTGGCAATCACCTTTACAGAGCTGAGCTGTAAACCAGGCCTGGCTGTGCCCCCATCACTGCTAGGAAGGTGTCTGGAAGGGTATGAAGCCATATTCCAAATCCCAGTGTGTAAATTTGGGTATTTAAAGCAGCAGGTATATCTCCCATTTAGGCATCCTGCGGCTGGTGATCTGCTTCAGGTAGTGAATCAGTCAATCAGCAGCACAGAGGCACTGCATGGCTGTAACTGATGTTGCCACACCTCTACATAATAGTTTTTATTTCTGAAATTGTTTTAAAATTCTAAGAACTTTTTACATTTAACTAAATAGCACAAGCTTGCAACAAGCTGCTGTTCTTGAGTCCACCTTAATTTGTGAAATACAAAGGGATTGTGTCTGCTGAGGTAACCTGATTTTTGTCTTTAACCAGTGGAAGGTCTGTGTGAAGGGATCAATGCTGGCTTGGTGGATATTGCCATCTGGGTTGGGACGTGCTCAGATTATCCACGGGGAGATGCTTCTACTGGATGGAATTCAGTCTCCCGAATCATCATTGAAGAACTGCCAAAATGACTTCCCTCCCTTTTTATAATACCTTTTTTTAAAACTTTTGTACTATTTTTTTCAGAATTTATTTCAATAGAGTTGGATGCAAGTACTGGACTGAAAGGCACCAAAGCCTTGCATCTGTAGCCTTTGTCTTGTTTTGCACATGGCAGAGGCTTTTTATAATAATCATTTTAGAATACAAATATCAAAACCAAGTTCATTAACGTTTTAATTTCTTTTTTGATGTAATACCACCACTGTTTTTAGAATTAACCTTAACTTTTTGTATCAAATAAATAAGACCTTTTACAAAAAAGAAATCCGGGTTATTTTATTGAACATTAATCTGTTTAAGGTATTTTACATGGTGTTATGATACACGATTTTTTTAGAAGGCTTTACAGATAAAGTTCTAAGAAAGTAAAATCAGGTTGGCTTTAGCCTTCAGAAAACATAAAATGCACTCCTGTAAACCTGACTGCAGAATAGGATGCTCTGCTGTTACAGTCTTGTCTCAAGGAACTCCTGGTGACTTAACTGTGACCTAGACAACATGGTAAGTGTTAAATACCTCATCATGAATAACTGAGCAAAACCAGACTGTCTGAGCTCTTCTTCCCTCTCTTGCTTCTCGATAGGCTGGATTTCAGTCTAATATCTATGACTGGTCTCCAATACTAAGATGCAGACATGAAATAATTTTACAGTTACAACACTTAATTTCATTGCTGCAATAAAATAATTCTCCTGGATTTAGCCTTTCACTTATACAGAATCACTTTGGTGTTGGTTAAAAGCTAGATATATTAAGCATTTTAGAAGATACAGACATAAGACAGGTTGAAATGCCTAGGCTTTCCAAAATTGACCTTGTAAAGTGAAACAATGATGTCAGAGCTGTTTGACAAGTGACAACACTGATCACGCCAACAGACCACAAGCTTCAGTGTTTTAAATATTTTCTTCCAAAGGCTGCAAGTGACATACTCAAATATTTTTTAAAACTGTACACATTCTAAAGAGAAACAACAGTCATGTTTGTATTACAAAACCAATTTTACATTAATGAAATAAAGAACTCATGAAAAGCATGTACAACATGCAAAAATATCCACTCTTCCTAGAAATTAAAAGGAAAAAAACCCCATTAAATCTGAGATAATGAATTTATTTTAGCTATTTAGCTATTAATTAAATCTCATTTTCTTTTCTGAACAAGCTGTAAGATTTCCCCCAGGCACCTCTCAGATGGGTCGCTCTTGCCTGTAGCTGTTGTTGCAGATACCAGGGGAGGACACCTGCAGTGAGGGGAGCACTTGGGCTTGCCCGACTGCAGGATGGTGTGTGAGATTTGCTGCAAGCCAGCAAGTTACACAGCTGGTATTTTGTCTCTGAAGAACTGCAGTGTTTTCACTGGCTTGGACGATGGTTTTAAGGTACCTGAACACAAACAAGTTACTATGAGCTGAGCTGAGCTGTGAACTTACAGAACGTCAGCTAACACACAGGGAGTGATTGTGCACATGCTCACAGCCTGCCCTTGCATTTATCCTGAAGCACGAGGAAGCTGTTCTGCACCCAGAGAACACTAATCCAGGCTAGTACGTGCACAGCTTTTTCTCTTTTATGATGTTTTCATATGTCTTCACAATGTATTTTGGACGCTGGGTGGTAGAGTGAACTCAGTGTTCCATTAACTTCATTCTGTGTACCACAAAACACACAAAGGCCAGTAAGCACCCTCCAAAGGCAGAGGCTGCTGGTTTGGATCTACATTATTTACATGGTAAACTTCCAGTAAATTTATCTTCAGCTAAATACACACGGAACCTTCCGTAATAAAAACCAAAGCCAGCCATGCTGGCCCCAGATGAGATTATTCTTTCCAATGAGATTATCAACTCTGTCAGGGATTGTGGAAGACAAAGTGTAAATTATTAATAAATTTAGTTACACAAAATGTGGTGTGTGGCAACAGTAGCTACAAAGACAAGCAAGTGGATTGCTGAATGAAGATGCAAAATAGCTTTCCAGTTTTTAGGTTACAATTTAAACAAAGTCCCTAATCTGTTAAATTTTTGTTAAAAATGGTTCTTTCTGCTTTAGGTTAATCTGGTAAACAGGAAACTTCTCAAAGTGATTATTCTGCTCCCTACGAAACTGATGATTTCTCCCTAACTGTTGGATAGCCTTTGCTAACTTATTTCCTAGTTAAATTATATATACTAGATACTTAATATCTTCTTACCAACAGCAAGAGGCAGATGTTAGGGTCAGTAATGTTTTTTCTTAAAGAAGTAAAAAACCCAAACCCAGAACTCTAAAAAGTACATATCCTTGATGGCAATTATTGGTGTGGAAAAAACCCATCATTATTATAGAAATTTACTGAGAAGGGAATTTAATTTATCAGTAAATTAGCAATCAATATATTAACAATCTTTTCCTTAAACCAAACCAGAAGACATTAACAGATTGTTCTGGTTTTTTTTTTAAGAAAGTCCTGTGCACAGGATTGTTTTAGACTAGAAACACTTTTTTTTCCAGAGAATATTATTGAAAGTAAATGTGGTCTTATTTGTTACTACACTGGCTTGAACACTGCATCACTATGGGATTACTAGAAAAAAATCCTCATCTTTAAAATGTAAGCCCACTTTCAAATATGCATTTTGTTAGTAATATCTGGTCAGCTGTATCATTAATGGAGACAGACTCTGACACAGAGGGAGATGGAGAGAGAGTGAAAGAGAGAAAATGAATTAAGTGGCCAGCAAGTCATGCACTTTTAGCACATCGGTCTGCTGCTAAAACCAAGTCAAAAACCACAGTGCAAGTCTGGCCTGGTATGAGACAAGAACTGAGCTTCACCAGACTTGAAATTATTCAAACACAAGAATGGACAGCTGTTTTAAAAAAAACAATTTCAGTTTCCAAACTGCACCCCACTGAGGCAGCATTTTTATGTTGGATGAACAATGGAGTGTGAAGCATTCCATATCCTAAAATCTGATGAGTAACACAGAGGTGGATTCAGACGACATTCCTTGTTTTAATGAGACTCAGAGATTTGTGAAAGTTTTGACAGGGCCCAGGGCTGCTTTCATATAAAGTTTTCCACTTGTGCAGGAGCAGAATCTCACCAACTGTTATCTTGAGACTTGCTGAAACTGCTTAGTGGGTTATTCCAGGCAGGCCAGGATGAATGGATTGCTGTGCAGCTGCCTTCACCCAGTCACAGCACTCTTATTTCACAGTTGCAGACATCTGCCTCAAGCAGGCACAGCTGACTCAGAGAGGAAGGCAGCAATGCAGGAGCATTCAACAGGAGAGATGTTGGCAGGGTTTATTGTCTCTACATTCTTTCCTCAAAATAACAGATCAAGTCACAGTGTCAAAGAAGACTGCTGAACTAAATTTCTCCCAGATCATAAATATAAAAAATAAAGGATAGATTCCTTCCTAGGAACACAAGTTCATACCTTTTAATTATTTTCTTTCCTAAAACCAAGTAAAAAGCCAGACACATTTTCATAAACTACAAAGGTAATACAGCAGGCAGGAGTCACTCTGATTACATTAGGTATAATTCCTTTGTAAAATCCATGAACACCTTCTTTCCTTTAAAGAAAAAAATCAGACATAAAACAAAGCCTGGCATTTTATTTCTCACACTCCCATTGAGAGATGTACTTCAGGTTAGAAATAACAATTTCAGACAGTGTTTAAAGTGCATCAAGTATTAACCCATTGTTTTTTCTTCTGAACATATAATAGCATTATGTAGATCAGTTATTTAGCCTAGACTTTGAGTGTTTTTTGTGGGTATTGTCCAAGTAAGGCAATTTACCATCTTGCTTCATGCTACAAGAACTGGCTAAATAACTAAGAAAAGCCAGCATTCATGTTTTGAGAATTTAAGCACCCCTTCCAGAATTTTGATTCTACTGGCCAATAAATGAGAATCTAATTTCACCCAATTTGAATCAGTGTGTCATGCTAGGGCTATTAAAAAGTTTTAGAGACATTAAATCCCAGCTCTTTAGGTGCAGGCCTCACAGGCACAGGACACCTTGGAGGATGAGAAAACAGATCCTGAGAAATGTTTGGGTGTGGTTTACACAACCCTCCCTAAGTCCCATTTGTTTCATCATGAGCTCAGCAGTGGCTCCAGAATGGCTGCACTCCACTTCACCAGAACTAAAAAGCCTTCCTGTAGCCTGCAGCACTGAAGGGCTCAGCACTGACACATCAGAGCTACTTCTGCTCTGAATTGCCTCCAGTCAAAATGGTTGCACAGCATCTGAACCAGGGGAGCTCCTGGAACAACAGAGCCTCGGTCACCTACTGAGCTGGCCCCTCTTCACAGCCCAGGAGCCCATTCCCAGCTCTCCAGCAATATGGGCCAAGCCAGAAGCACTGCCCAAAGCCACGGATGCACATGCAGAGGTGGCCACCCTCAATAACTACACAGGGCTGTGTGAAAACTCCCCTGCACTGTGCAGCTCAGGGAAGGTTTGTGAGAAGATACGAATAGGTGTGAGGTCACAGGTCTCTCAAGGTCCTACAGGAAGCTGGGACCAGACTACAAGTGCAGTCAGGCCCCAGGGTAACCCAGGGACATCAGTATAAGCAGCTCTGGCTAGCTCACTTCACCTTGCCAGGAATTTGGATTAGCCACAACTCCCAGCAGCACAATGCTCCTGTCCTATGTGACAACCCAAAGCAGTTCAAGTGAGACTTCATTCAGTGTCCCAAACCAGCCATGACAATGTTATTTTTTGGCCTGTGAAATTTGCTGGAGAAGAGAGAAGGGAGACAGAATAAACAGCAGAAACCTGCAGGGGGCATTGACTCTCTCCTATCTCCTGGGCTTACTGCTGTTGGTGGCATCTTGCACAATATGACTTTGTACAACTAACACTTTGTTTGCTCTGAACTGTACTGGTTCTGCAAGTCAGCACAGAAGCCAGTAAAGGTAGCTCTGATTCTGTAAAACTCAGTTTCCAACGTGTAGGCCTTTAATTTTGCACACCTACCTCCACGTCCTGCGGATCACATCAAACACCCCGGAATATGTGTTATGCTGGTCTTGAAGACGAGCTCGCACAACTTGATAGGGATATGTCGCTACCACAGCAAATATTTTGGATACAGCTGCCATCATTATGTATTCCACAGTGTTCTAAAAGCAACAAAAATGGTCAGGCTTGTCTTAGGTATGGTTTAAATTAGCCAGTTCCCAAAATCTTATTTGATTTTTAAATGTACAACCAAACAATACTCTAGATTTTTCCCTCTTATAATACAACACATTAAGAGAAATGTCAGCGTTTACTACATGCAGTGCTACAATGTAAAACATGTGTTGTGCCTTCTCATTCCCATCAAGACAAACACTTCTTCCAAAGGTAGCTACCTTTGCCCAGCTTGCACCCCAACAGTTTTCCAGGGTTTAATACCACCCCCTCTGGTTCCACAAGTAAGGAAAAACCCTCATTCCATCCTCTAAAATTCTCAAAACACTTGCCAAAGTAAGAAGTTGGTTTTCAAAACCAGTGAAAACCAGTTGCTTGTTCCTAAAAAGTGACAAAGTATTATCTCCTTCTGTATATTCTGCACTCAATTAATGTACCAATACTTTGTACATTTGGCCGCTGTACAACCTGATAAATGGAATCCACTTGTATTTATTTACATGCCACAACATAATTTTATTCTCAAGCATCCTACCAATTTTGTATCTGATACTCTGTTTCTATACTTGTTGTATCTCTCTTTCAAATCCTCGTAGGCCATGAACTGAAGTGCTCCATGTGATGTTCCGAACAGGCCAGGCACAAATCCCTAAAAGAAGGGCAAAACAAGGTTAAAGGGTAATGCACAAACCTAAACAAATTGACAGAGCACAGCTCACACCCCTACATTTGTCCTCCCTTAATGTACAGACTGTGCTGCACAGCAGCTGCAGTCTGACCCAGGTGTCCTTAAGGCAGGCATCACACCAACACTTAATAAATGCTACTTTTCTGACACACAGCCTAAAGTCACCCACTGAGTCACTGAGATAAAACAAGTGGCCCAGGGACTCCACCTCACAGAGCACAAGCTGGAAACACAGATTAGGATTGCAAGATCACAAATCAGGCTGTGGTCTTGCAAATGTGCCTCCAGAGACTGGCACTGAGGGGTTTGGGTCCCACCCGAGACTGGTAACACATGCTGGCAACTCAGAGAAGAGCCACCAGGAGCAGAGGTACTAAACGTTATTGTGATTGAGCCCAGGAAATAGATATGCATGTGCTTGCACTTGTGTCCCTACAAAAATGTGTGTCTATGAGATATACAGATATATATATTTCTATACTAAAAATGTTTGTGTCTATATAGAATCATTTCAGTTGGAAAAAATCTTTAGGATGATCAAATCTAACCATAAACCTGACACTGCCATGTCCACCACCATAACATGTCCCTGTGGCAGAAGAGAGTGAGCTGCTCCAGCACTGTATTTCTTACACAAACACAATACAATACACATCAATCTTTAGGTTCAAAAAAGTTGAAATGAAGGGGGAAAACAGGTACTTTCTGAACTGTCTCCACAAGAAAGAGAAGACAGGAGTTCCCCCAGGAGCAGGACTAGCTCCATTAAAATGAGCTGTCAGCTGCAGGGGCTCTGAAAAGCACTAATTCTTTTTGAAGAGTTGGTAATTTACATTGAAAACCACAAATAAATGGAGGATTAATCATCTTGGACAGAAAGGGACTCAAAAGCTTGCTGCAAACTGTTGGGGTACAACAGAGTAAGTGAACAAAATATGGTTAAAAGCACTCAAAGAACCAAAGTTTTAAAAAAACCAACCAAACAACCAAAAAAACCCCAGTTTTTCCTATGATCCATTCAGACAAGAAAAAAGAATTTAAAAATGTGCTCAGATGCCAAACTGTGTTACACTAAAAGGGAAGCCCAAAATGTTGAAGACTTATCAGAATACGAATAAAAACCTGGAGAAGGTGAAAAGGAGAATAGATCTCTGAAGGAGTCCACTGAATTGGTGTTAACAAGACAAAATAATAAAACTCCTAAATTGCAGAAAAAACCTCAACAACTAAAACTACAGCAGGAAGAAAAGTTGCACGGATAATACACAAAATACCACTTCAGGGATCAGCTTTCCAAATGCTACTTATAGATTTCTAAAGTTTTTCAGTCATTCAGGAAATGATTTTTTAGAATTTCTTTAATACATGAGGATAAATTTCTTTTCACAGTAAGAAATAATGGTCATGAACTCTCCATCAGTGACCACAAAGTGATGAAATGCATTAAGGGCTAGTCAAAGTCCCAGAAAAAAAACTTCCCCAAATAAGAACAAGAGGAATTAAACCACATATCTCTATTTTGTCAGCTGTAAGCACAAAGTGAAGTTTGAAGCCAAAGGGCCCCAAAAGAGGGAAAAAGACAACTTTGGTCTTCAGAAATCCTGCATCAGAGAAAAAAAATGAATGCAATATAAAAACAGGAGCAGAAAAAAAATTTGTGCAAAAATGTAAAAAAAAATTATCTGGGTCAGCAAAAAAAACCAACCAAAACCCAGTACGAAACTTATGGACAGTGATAGCAGGGAAAATCTTCACAAACATTTCCCGGTGATTAATCAGTAAAACAACTAAAAGACAGTGGAAGTAATTGTTCTCCACTTGGAAAGAATTAGAACAATGTATTTATATCATAGAAAAATGAGGTAATGCTTTCTCTGCCAACAAAAGAAGAACATTAAACAACCTTTAAGAGAGCTAAACTCTTAAACTTAAGCCAGAAGATTTGGATAACTCGCACCCTTGAGTCCTAAAGCATCCACTGGTAGTACTTCATACACAAACACCAGCATGCTTAAAGTCCTGTGCTGAGCTTCCAAAGACTGAGGGACCTTTAATGTTGGGCCAATATTAAAAAATCCAAGAAGGGAGTGAGGCAACTGTCAGCCAATGTGCCTCGGTAAAATAGGAGCTGACCCAGGCTTTTATTGATCATAGAAAACAATGCATTCTTATGGAAAAACGTTTCAAAGCAAAACTGATTTCTTCACAGCACTGAAATATCTTGGCCGGGGAAGTTTTTGAAACATATTCTATTTTCTTATTCTTAGAATAATTTAATTCAAAATTCTTTCTTGCCACAAAATTTGATAGAATTTCATATTTATTTTTATCCAAAATATGACTTCAAAGAGAAATTTTATAATAACTTCATGTATTTCTTGTTATTTTTTACTTTAATATTTGAAATATATCTTTAGAAGATTTTTGCCATGAAGGAATGACAAGATGAATGCTTCCTCAAAGAAGTCCTGCTTGAATTCTCTTTCAAAGGATTAGAACAATAGACAAAATTAAATATAGTTCTATATTTATATTCTATAATTAGAAACTTAAATGGCATATAATTCTGAGCAGCAGACAGGGAATAAAGAAATATTTTAAAGTTGGCTCAAAGTGCTTTAAGTGCTGAAAATCCATGACAAGGAGAAAATGTCCTGTTGGTTGGTGTTTCAAAGGTTACCCACCACAATAAAAAGAAACACAGGCAAATGTACACACTGGAAAACCTGTGCTTCTTAGAAAGAAGGGAACAAGGTTCATCTGGTGATGTGGTACTCACATCACTGCCTGAAGTGTTTGACAGCACGCAAGCCAGAACAGCCTCTGCTGTCTGTTTCAAAAGAATGCAGCAAATACCCCTTGTAATCTCTCCAGTGCTGCCTTCATTTGGGCTCTAGTGTGTCCAAGACCTGCAGCATCTCAGTGCCCTGCTCTGACAACTTGTGCAGATAAAACACTGAAGTCCTCATTATTATCTTGATTCCCTCATGGTGAAAAATGTTGCCATCTTTTATGTGAAAGCCACTTTTGCTTATGTCTCTGTGTAGAACCTGCAACTTAAGTTAAAATCAAGATGGCCAAATCTCAATGGGTTACAAGTACAAAGATATAGAAAGCTTACAAGCTTCATATTTATAAGAAGAAAAATAACAGAAGCAAAAGCATTGCAAAATAAAGAGAGCTAAGTGCCTTAGCCGTTGAGGGACCAGGAAAAGTACTTTATCCTTGCCTACCAAAAGTGAAATGCCAACACAGAAGTATCCAAATATATTTCACTTGCACACATTACTGTTATGGCTTTTGTTGTTGTCAGCATGCTACATTTTTATTCTCAGTCTTGATGAACCTGGATTTTACTTTAATCTCCTTAAATATTCTACATTTCCTGTGTATTTTACTCTTGTTTATTAAGCATTGCTCTATTTCCAACTGCTGCTTCTATATCATCAACAAAGGAGAATAAAAAATGCACATATAGAAATATGGAGGCCATGCATTCCTGACTGGTGTCTTAGCAGTCGCAGTCTCTAGAGAGAGACATCTAACATCTAACAGTTAAACACCTCATCTAACAGAGAAACATCTAACAGTTTCTCAACAGCTCAGAGATATTTTATGGTTTCCTAAAAGCACCAATCCTACAATCTTACAACTATTTTACCATGTTTGGGCACTCCTACCTTATGCTTGAAAAGAACACCACAGCACTCATAACATGAAGATGGTTGCACGACATCTATTAATGGCAAAGCAATCTTTAGAGCTCAAATCTCCAGCAGATCCATAGGTGTGTTCAAAGTACATAACCCCAAGCTGTTTTTTAATTCAGCCTGGTGTGCAGCAGAGCAGCTCTGTCCCCAGTCATCAGGGGACCAGAAAACAAAGCCCAGTGGATGGAGGGTGTGGAAGATCACTGACTGGATGAGTACTGGGATAATGAGCGAAGGAGACTCCTCCTGCCTTTTCAGAACCAGGCCAAGTCCAAGAGGAACAACTTACTGAGAAACCCAGATTCAGGCAAACTATATTTGATGAACAATCAATACCCAGCAGAGCTAATAAAGACAGCTTTGATCCCTGCTAGAAAGATTGATGTAGCCTGACATTACCAGTGTGTACCTCAAAGGACTGAAGGGATTTGCTCAGACCAGGAACAGCATCTATGCAATAAAGAGCCATATCAAATTGCTTGGTCAGAAATACCACTCTTTAGAAGACAAATCTCAAACAGCAAGAAACTCCTTCCAGATTTTATTTCCCATTCTATCTGAGACAGTTGCTCTATTTGAGATCCCTTCATTTACTATAAGGTGGTACTATCTGAGATCCCCGTATCTGCTATAAGGAATGCTATCTGAAATGAAGATTATGAGGAAAAAGAAGACAATTGTGTGTATTGCAACTCCTGACTCAGGGCAAAAACAAAGCTTTAGCTGTACAATTTCAAACAGAGCAAGAAAAAGAAAAGCTTCCCCAAACACTGAAATGGAGGAAGGCTAAATCATGTTCAAGTCAAAGAGCCATCTGAAGAGGTGCCTTTTCCCCCAGTATAGACAAGGCTGAGAGAGTCTTGACGTCAAATGGAAGTTGCTCAGTGTGCACACTTATGTAGGTCACTTAGGACCTATTTAGGTCACCTTCTTTGCAGATTTAAGCAAGTAATTTGCTCTTTCAAAGGAAGTAGCTGCTTTAGTCCCACACTTGCAGATTAACACTACAAAGAAGTGTCTAGTGCCAAAGGCGACACATGCTACATGCACAAATAATCTGAAAAGAAGGGGGGGAAGGATATCTTAAAACCTAACAGATCCAAGAAATCAGAACTTATCTACATGGAACAGAGCAGACATCCAGGCAGGCAAACCAGAAATACTGACAATTTCAATTTAGGAATAAGTAAGGTGCCTTGATCCTAGTGTTAGAATTTGGCATTCATTGCCACGAAGCACACAAGTCTTACAGAATAGGAAGGATCACATTTTTCACTGAAAATAAAATAAGCTAATGTTCAGTAATCAGAATAATTTCTAAGAGAAAGTGGTCTTGTTCCCTATCCCTGGCAGTGCTCAAGGCCAGGCTGGATGGGCTCTGAGCAGCTTGGGCTAGTGGAAGGTACACCTGCCCATCACAGGGGTGTTGGAACAAGAATATCTTTAAGATCCCTTAAAACCCAAACCATCCTATGATTCTATGATTCTGCAGCATTACTTGCAGGAGAAGAGCCAGACTGAACTAAAATAGGTTTCTTCACAACTTCCAGGCACTGATGAACGCATCTTGATGTCATGACCTGAAGGGAGGAGGAGGCAAAAAGTTCTAATCTTGTTGCCATCTGTTTCCCTAAATTAAAGGGAACAAAAAACCCCACACATATGCAGACCATATTTAGAAGTCTGCAAACTTAATACATCTAGAGCTGACAGATTACAGACATCAATAACCAGAGGGCAAGTAAGCAATTGTGAAACTATCCATTATAGTTTATATTCATTATAGAAGTAAAAATTAAGTCATGTTATCTTCCAGAAGAGGTCAGAAACACAGAGATAAGGGATAAAACGCAAGGAAGTACTACCAGCAACATAGGTTACATTTTTGCTGTCCTGCTTATCCAAATCCTAATTATAGGAAGATTCAAAAAAATTACAGAGCAGTTTATCACCAGTATAATGGCTTTTCTTCTGACTAAGCCTTTTTGCTGCAGTTCTTCAGCGGGAAAGACTCACAGAATGAAAGTGAGCTATCACAATTTATTCTTTTTGCAGACAAATATTTAGAAGTCTCACCATGCTACCGGGTGGTGCCAGGCAATCATGGAATTTTTCTGAAATGTGATTACCTTATATAAGCCACGTATGCCCTCTGTCTTGTATATCTTTATAAGAGCATCAAACATTCCTCTGTACTGCCGCTTGGATGGATCCACGCCAGCGTTATATTGTAGCACAAGTCGGGTCTTGGTTACCCATATTGGGTTTGTAATGCAGAGGGTCATGGCTCCTGAGGACAGACAGAATTTACACTCATTGCTATGCCAGCTCCACAGATTGTCCAGTTTGTTCAGTCCCACGTAACTTCTACAATGACAAAACTGCTTTTCCTACCAGAGTACTCATATTGCTCAAAACAGGTGAAGTTTATGCCCTCCACTGCTCCCTCTCTCTCCCTTCAAAGCTCACAGTCAAGTCCAATTCACTCCTGCTGTGGTACTTTTGTAGGGTACATGTATTTTTGCACATTCCTAGTACAGCCCCTTTTTTCTTTCACCTTTCCACAGTCAGTAGTATAATCTGAAGTAGACAGTAAATGTAATTTCTTAATGCACCACTGATTATCTGAGTTATTCTTCAGTATACAATAATTCAAAATTTAATGGACACCTCCCTGATGCGAAATTTGCTTAATAATTTTGACAGGTTAATAGCAAGAACCTGTTATAGCTTTATAGGTTATTGAAAATACCATTGTAGCAGAATCCATTACTGTATTTCATGTCATACAATATGCCCTATATTTCAACGTTAAATGAATGCTTCAAAATCCTAATGAAGTCTTCCAAATTGCCTGTACACCATGTAGTGACAGGAACAAGGGGGAATGATTCAAACTGAAAGAGAGCAGGTTTAGATTAAGTATGAGGCAGAAATTCTTTACTGTGACAGTGGTGAGGCACTGGAACACGTTGCCCAGAGAAGCTGTGGATGCTCCACCTCTGGGAGTGTTCAAGGCCAGGCTGGATGGGGCTTTGAGCACCCTGGTCCAGTGGGAGGTGTCCCAGCCAAAGACAGGGGGCTGGAACTAGATTATTTTAAGGTCCCTTCCAACCCAAAGCATCCAACCCAAAGCATTCCATGATTCAATAGGCCACCTCCTTTCCAGGTCCAAGTGTAAACATTTAACAGGCTAACAATCTGATAGCAGCAGATTTCTGTAGTTACATTTTGGGACCCAATACCGTACTAAATATGGGAAGTACTTATACAGAATGAAAACCAGGACAAAAGACATTTTGACAACTGTTAATTCTGCACAAAACTGAAGGACCACAGTGATCCACCTATTTGTGCTAGACATCTTTGTTTTATTTACAGACAACAAACTATTGCATCTGGGATGGAACACTTGCACTTGCCACCTGTAAGAAAAAGCTGCACTGACACAGAAAGGCAGGTAGCAGCATATGGGAAGGGTACAAGTGAACATTAATTTTTGCATTTAACCTCACCAGCCTCTGCAGCTGACACCAGATGTTCGCTCGCACTGAGACTTTCCATCTTCCCCTCCTTCTTGTAAGCTTTGATGGCATTGTAACTGGAAAATAAACAACGTAGTTTAGTGAAGGTGAAAACAGACCTACATCACAAAAAACCCAATCCAGAATGACATACCTGGCTTAAGATCATGGTGGTACACAGCCTTTGAAGAAAAGGCATCCAAACTACTGTTATTTAATTGATTAATTGTCTCTGAGCAGTTCGCTCTTAAAGTGAACCATGGAAATATATATTTAAATTGTACAATTAAAGTGTCAGTATCAATGGGACTGCATCTTGAAAATTACCAGATATCCAGAATTAACTCTAAAAGAAGTTTATTGGGACCCACAGTGCTAGGTATGTACCTTCTAGCTCAGAAATACACTGAGAATTATTCTCTTGATCCTCTTGATTCTCTTGCAAAGTTTGCAATCTTTGTTAATTAAGGAATTGCCAACAGAAGATGAAGTGTCAATAGCAGTCTACAGCAAAGCTTAAGGACTGAAGTACAACAATAACACTCTAGACAACTGATAAGTGAGCTTGCATAGGCATACCAGCTAACTAGTCCCTAAAATGTTTCAATTAATAGGGATAAGCAGTAACAGAGTTAATAAAGTAGAATATTAAAAGATGGGCTTTAAAAGCAAAGCCCATAAACTGACAAAAACAATGAAAAAAACTGTCACTAAAATGATTAAAAACAATCAAACGTTTAGTTTCAGTAGAAAACTTCACGCTCTTTAATTTTTAAGAAATCAATTTAGGTTCTTGTTTTTCATGAGGTTTTAAGAACAGTGTATTGGCACTTTTAGAGAATTCTTTATGAACAGTATCATCACCTCTCAAATTCCTTAGTATTTTCACAGCATCAAGAGAATGCACTGTACCTGACAAAGGATCAGGTCTCTGACTCAAACTGCTTAAATTCTAAAATGGTAAACCATAATAAACCTTAACAAACCTGGACTAGCTAAGAAAATTACAAGTTTGTAAGTCCCTTAGCACATTTTTATACCCCACAAAGAAGATGCAGTGTATATCTGAACACTACATTGTGCAGGCAGTGACACATTTTACAGTTCTACTTACAAGAAGAAGTAAAGTCCCCAGGAGGCCCCTGCTCCCACCATGTTTGGAGTCACCCCTTGGTACAAGCCTCGAAGCCCTTCATGCTTCCAGACTGTGCTCATACAGTGAAGAATTCCATTGTACTTTGGCCTCAGCTCCAACCCATCGCTTACTACAAAAGAAAGAAATGATATTGGAAAACATTTCAGGAAGCATAAAGTTCAACTGCCTCCAAGCCAACACAGGAGCCCACAGCCTCTAAAGCAAGCAATAAATGAACATGAAAGGTAACTGATCAACTGTATTACATGAATGTTATTTCACAAGTATGCAAGAGTTGGGGTTTACAGCTTTATAAGCTTAGAGCTCAAGAACTTAGGGGAAAAAGGGGGGAAAGGAAATAAAAAAGAGTGAAACTACTTAGTTCAATAAGAGGAAAGTTCCTATTAATCTGACAAAGCTAAATAAATGCACTTTAGTACATTTTTGATAAGCAGCAGATCTGAAGTTTTCTGTTTCTTCTTTTTAGCACTCCAGCGATTTTGCATCATATTTCAGGTGATACGGATGGCATCCTTGACATGTTTCTCTAAGCTGTTTAGACAAGTCCCAAGTAACAACCCTTAAATTCAAATTTTCTCTTTAAAATGTTCTATAAAGCAATGGGTCACGTCTTACTGATTCCCAAGTCAGTTTTTACCAGAATACTCAAAGGTTTCTTCTCTCACCTAATAACCTAACAGCCGGTTGTCCACATGTTCAGAAAATACCACTTCAAAAACATAGAAAACACACAAGTTTTTGTCTGACAGATCATGTAGAACATGGATGTCACAAAACTTGAAATTACTATTGCTCCTACCACAACAACAAAGGAGTAAGTTGATTACTGATGAGATATGTGATGCAGTCCATGGTGAGAAGACAAAAGGTAACAAACGCAAGCTGAAATACAGGGAATTTTGACTAGCACTTTTTATCCAGCAGAATGGCCAAATAATTGAACAAGTTGCCTGAAGAGCATCTTTGGAGCTACTCAAAACTCCAATACACAAGACTGAACAAACTGATCTAAGCAGAGCTTATCTGAGTAGGGGGTGAACTCCTTGGCTCTCTTCTGAGCTAAATGACTCTGTGCTGCCAACAGAGCAGCAGTTTTCATTCTTCCTACAGACGTATGGCTAGACTGCAACTGCACTGAAAACTGATCTCAAAGTTTTACAAGTGTAGTTTTTGTGTCCCCATCAAAATTAATCCTGGTAAACAGGCATTTTCTGTTTGGTGCCACATTTATTATTAATTCCCCTTGAACTCCGTGTATGGGACAGACTCTGTATAATAATTGTGTAATAATTGTGACAGACTTCAGCATTGAAGACAAAATGCTTTGCTGAGCACAGTGGGACAATGCCTCAACACCTTGACAACACTGAAAACTAGAATACAAACACCTCTTTTCTCCTTCCTGAATAAGTGTTGCTAGACCTTTCCCACAGATACTTGTGAAATTTTTACCATGCAGACACCAGATCAAGTTTATAACCATATTAAACAACATCGGAAATCAGACACACGAATGCAAGTCTTTCTGTCAATGATACTGCCAAGAATCTTCACAGAATTAACCAGACCTAATTAGACCTGGCTACTTAGGGACATGACCAGCTGACTACTGAATGTTTCCATGGTTGAAGAGATTACAGCCTGTCTGGGTAAACTTTTCCAGTATTTAACCATTCTCACAGTAAAATAACTGGAACTTTCCATGTTCACGCTTGTGCCTGTTCTTTTTCAGCCTACTATCTCCAAGAATCTGACTTTACCTTCCAATAACATTGTCATAGACCGCAATTTTGCAATCCCTCAGCCCTTCCTTTCAGAGCCAAAGGGATGCTGTTCTGTCAGCCTGTTCTATGCCATGTGCTCCAGCCCCTTCACCGGTCTGGTGGCTTCCACCGAAGTCACACCAGTGTGTCATTGTCTTCCTTCCTTGTCCTGGTAAACACAGTACTTCTGATGTAGTCTTACAAATGGAAAACAGAGAGAAAAGAGCCCTTCTGCTGGTTGTGCTTTTTGTAACGCAGCCCAGGATGTGTCCAACGTTTTGAACTTCATAAAATGTCTCTGGGATAGTTTGGTTTTGAGATCTTAAAAAAACCATGTATCTATTTATGAAAACAACCCAAAGATACAGGAAAATGTTTCAACCTCTGAAAGAAAATATGATATGGACAAGTTTCTCAAATACGCAGAAAAGTCAAGAAAAGTTGCCATGTTTCCTTGGAAAAAACAAATCAGTTACAGAGTTTTGTGCAAAACACCACCACTATTGTTAAGGACCAAGGTTATTCCACAACCACCGCTACACTCTGAGTGCTGAGAATCTTTGGCATAGAGGTGAACTTTGAACGTGGGTTTGGGCAAGCCGCCTGCTGAAAGCGGGCAGCGCTCCGCTGCCTCTGGCACCGGCGGCCACCGGGGGAACGGCGGGGGAAGAGGCCGGCAGCTCTCCCACCTGCCTGCAAACACCTCGGGGCACACCGCACACGATACAGCCCCTACAAGAGACAAGAAGCAGCTTTGGGATAGCGGGAAGAGAATGGGAGACCGTCCCTTTAGGCTTACGGCTATTTGTTCCCAGCCGTGGGGCTGCAGAGAGAACGGGCTTGGGGCAGGGAGCCGGGCCAGAGAGAGCGGGCCTGGGGCAGGGAGCCGGGCCAGAGAGAGCGGGCTTGGGGCAGGGAGCCGGGCCAGAGAGAGCGGGCCTGGGGCAGGGAGCCGGGCCAGAGAGAGCGGGCTTGGGGCAGGGAGCCGGGCCAGAGAGAGCGGGCTTGGGGCACGGAGCCGGGCCAGAGAGCGCGGGCTTGGGGCACGGAGCCGGGCCAGAGAGCGCGGGCTTGGGGCACGGAGCCGGGCCAGAGAGAGCGGGCTTGGGGCACGGAGCCGGGCCAGAGAGAGCGGCGCGGGCTTGGGGCACGGAGCCCGGGCTCGGCGAGCTCGGGCACGTCGGTGCGCCCTGAGCGCAGGACGGCGGCGGGCGGCCGGTCCGGCCTCACCTGCGAAGCGGATCTTGACGAGGTCCAGCGGGTGCAGCGCCAGGGTGGCCAGGACGCCGCCGCTCATTCCCGCCGCCAGGTTCTCCAGCCGCACGTGCCGCAGCACGGAGCGCAGCGCCGGCTCCCCCGACAGCGGCTCGCGCGCCGCGCACGCGGGCCCCGCGGCGCCCATCGCCGGCCGCGCGCGCGCAGGGGGGCGGGGCCGCGGAGGGGCTCGCGGCCTCGCGCGAGAACGGCCCGAGCGGCGCATCCGGTCACGTGTGCGCGCGGCGGCGGCGGGATGCGGGTGAAGGTGCTGAGCCGCAACCCCGATGACTACGTGCGGGACACCAAGCTGGACCTGCAGCGCGGTGAGCGGGGCTCCGGCATCGGCCCCCGGCACGGCCCGGCCCGGCCCGGCCGGAAACGGCACGGCATGGCACGGCACGGCCCGCCCGGAAGGCGTGAGGCCGGCGGCGCAGGAAGGCGTTCGGGCGCCCGTCGTCCGCGCCCCGCTCCGCTCCGGCCCCCTCCCGTCCCCTGCCGCTGCCCGCTAGCAGCGAGAATCGGGCAGTGCGCTTTGGGCTTCCCTCCTTGCGGGTGCCGGTCCGTGGCGGGGATCGCCGGGCAGACCTTGCCGTGCCGGGCCCAGGCCGCGGCTGCCGGAGCCGCAGCTCGGGGTGGCGGAGCCTGGAGCTGCCACAGCCTGGTCTGGAAGCGGCGTCACAGCAGGAGGGCGAGGCTGGGGGTTTAATCACTGGTCTGGTACCCCCAGATTGCGCTTAGTATTTCCTAGGTTACCCTTTGCAGTTTTTTGCTCTTAATGCTGTTTCATTCCTGGTATGTCGCGTTCTGCTTCTTGCACGTTCATTCTTAAAACTGCCAAAAATTGTGTTGGTTTTGCACACAGAATAATAGAGTTTTGGAAGGGAACTCTAAAGGTTGTCTAGTCCAACCCCCCACACCCTTCCCTGTGGTGAGCAGAGACATCTTCAGCTAGATCAGGCTGCTCAGAACCTTGATGGGGCATGTGCCATCTCATTGTAAAAAGCTTATTACTACTGCCTAGTCTAAATTGACCTCTTTAAGTTTAAAACTGTTACTCATTGTCATGTCATAACAGACTGTCTAAAAAGTCTGTCCCCATCTTTCTTATAGCCCCCGTTAAGTACTGAAAGGTCACAGTGGGGTCTGCCTGGAACTGTCTCTTCTCCAGGCTGAACAACCCCAGCTCTCACAGCCTTTCCTCATGGGAGAGGTAGTCCATCCCTCAGCTCATCTCTTCTCTGGACCTGCTCCAGCAGGGGTTTCTAATTTGTGTTCTTCCTGTTGCAGTTCCAAGGAACTATGACCCTGCATTGCATCCATTTGAGGTTGCATAGCCCCCATTAAGTACTGAAAGGTCACAGTGGGGTCTGCCTGGAACTGTCTCTTCTCCAGGCTGAACAACCCCAGCTCTCACAGCCTTTCCTCATGGGAGAGGTAGTCCATCCCTCAGCTCATCTCTTCTCTGGACCTGCTCCAGCAGGGGTTTCTAATTTGTGTTCTTCCTGTTGCAGTTCCAAGGAACTATGACCCTGCATTGCATCCATTTGAGGTTGCACGAGAGTACACAAGAGCTCTGAATGCCACAAAACTAGAACGTGTGTTTGCAAAACCCTTTCTTAGTTCACTTGATGGCCACAGAGATGGAGTTAATTGCATGGCCAAACATCCAAAAAGTTTGTCTACTGTGCTGTCTGGAGCTTGTGATGGAGAGGTAAGCTTACAATCCACATCAAAGAAGGTATCTTTTCTTATTTTTGTTTTTCTCTTTTGTGTTTTGTTGGGTTGTTTGGTTGGTTTTGTCACACCTTACTTTTCTGTCTCTGTTTGGCCTGTTGCCTTCATCCTCACTCGGAAGGTGAAACTTTTTGCTGCTCTGTAGCTCTGCCACTGTACAGGGGAGAAACTGGGGAGACAGATTGTAGGAAAGGCTCATGGGCTGAGATAAGGACAGCGAGGGATCCCTCACCTATTACCACCAGGGACAAAACAGACTGAACTTGGGGTTATTAATTGAATTTACTGTTAACAAACTGAGAACAGAATAATGAGAAGTAAAATAAGACCTTAAAACTACCTTTTTCCCCACCCTCCCTCCTTCCCAGGCTCTCCCTTCTCCCCAGCAGCACAGGGAAGTGGGGGAAGTGAGTTACAGTCAGTTTATTACAAGTTCTTCCTGCCTCTACTCAGGGGGAGGAGGTGCTCTGCTGCTCCACTGTGGGTCCTCCCGTGGGAGACAGTTCTCCATTCCCCAGCAGCACAGGGAAGTGGGTGAAGTGGGTTACAGTCAGTTCATTACAAGTTCTTCCTGCCTCTACTCAGGGAGAGGAGGTGCTCTGCTGCTCCACTTGGGTCCTCCCGTGGGAGACAGTTCTCCATGACTTCTCCAGTGTGAGTCCTTTCCACAGGCTGCAGCTTTTCACGAGTTGCTGCTCTGTGGGTGGCTGTTCAACATTGTATAATCCTTCAAGCAGAGGCTGCTCCAGTGTGGGTCCCCCACAGGGTCACAAGTCCTAGGAAACCTGCTCCAGTGTGGGCTTCTCTCTCCATGGGTCCCGAGGTCCCTGCCAGGAGACTTCTCCAGTAAGGGCTTGCCATGGATCACAGCCTGCTTTGGGTGACTCCCCTATTACCACCAGGGACAAGACAGACTGAGCTTGGGGTTATTAATTGAATTTACTGTTAACAAACTGAGAACAGAATAATGAGAAGTAAAATAAAACCTTAAAAATACCTGCCCCCCACCCCTCCCTCCTTCCCAGGCTCTCCCTTCTCCTCCCCAGCAGCACAGGGAAGTGGGTGAAGTGGGTTACAGTCAGTTCATTACAAGTTCTTCCTGCCTCTACTCAGGGAGAGGAGGTGCTCTGCTGCTCCACTTGGGTCCTCCCGTGGGAGACAGTTCTCCATGACTTCTCCAGTGTGAGTCCTTTCCACAGGCTGCAGCTTTTCACGAGTTGCTGCTCTGTGGGTGGCTGTTCAACATTGTATAATCCTTCAAGCAGAGGCTGCTCCAGTGTGGGTCCCCCACAGGGTCACAAGTCCTAGGAAACCTGCTCCAGTGTGGGCTTCTCTCTCCATGGGTCCCGAGGTCCCTGCCAGGAGACTTCTCCAGTAAGGGCTTGCCATGGATCACAGCCTGCTTTGGGTGCATCTGGCCTCAGTCTTCTCCACAGGTGCAGGTGGATCTCTGCACTTCCATTAACCTCCTCCATGGGCACCAGGGGCACTGCTGCCTCATCGTGGTCTTCACAACAGGCTGCAGAGGAACCTCAGTTCCTCCTCCTCCTTCTTCCCTCACCTTGGTGTCTGCAGAGTTATTCTCTCATGTATTCTCTCTCCTCTCTTCTCTGAGTGCAGTTACGTTTGCCCACTAACTTTTATTCCTTTTTAAAAGTGTTATCACAGAGTTGTTACCACCATTTCTCCTTAGCTTGGCCTTGTCCAGGGGTGGGTCTGTGTGGGAGCTGGCTGGCATTGGCTCTGCTGGATGTGGAGAAAGATTCCAGCAGCTTCTCACAGAAGCCACCCCTGTCAACTCCCACTACCAAAACCTAGCCATGCAAAGCCAATACACATTGTGGTTGCTTTTTGCTGCCTACATGACCCCCCTTCTCCACTCCTCCCCCTAAAGAAGTTAAACTGCCAGATTAGCTAGGGTGAAGGGGCACACAACCAAAAATTTTTTGGAATAACAGGGTTTTGTACTGCGTAAAGAAGGCTAACCCTGTATATATTTGATTTACATAGCTATTGTAAATAGCGGTCAAGGACACTTTAATTGGAACTAGTTGCAGAAAAAACTGCCTGTCTTTTCTGAATTACCTGTCTTTTCTCACCCTTACATTGCTCATTTGATAGTACTTGAATACTCTGAAGGTATTCAAGGGCAGTTTAAAGGTCTTCTAGGCAGTTGGTTGCTTTCTGCTTTTTTATAGAAAGTACACATGTCATGCAGTAGTATAAGGGAAGTTAACCTTTTCAGAGAGAAGTGGAACACATTTCTGTGAAAGTTCTTATCCAAATTTCTTATCCACTGATAGAGCAAGTAAAGTACTTGGTACCGTAAATACATAAAAATATAAAAAGTGACCTCCATTTCTTTGTTGTTGGTTTTTAAATGAGCCCAAAAGCTTTGAAACAGAAACCTCTGTGAGAGGTGGACATCCACACACAATGTAGTACAGCAGCTGGACAGAAAAAAATCTGTTGGTTCCAATTTCTTTGTGCTTTTGTCTTTAAAGACCACTTTCTGCTAATTTTATAACTGCTTCTGTTTTTTAGCAAGAATTCCAGTTCAAAAATAGGGGAGTGCAAAATGCAGAAAGTATACAGCTTAAGTCAGGATGGAGGGTAGGAATGAAAGAACATCACTTTTAAAATTATTTTCAAGAAAGAAATTATTAATTTTTAACATGATCAAATCTGACCTATGTCCAAGCCAACTCTGCCATTTCATTACAGCATATGTGGTTTCTTATACTTGAATTATGAACTGCCGCTGTGGGCTGTAGAAAGCTTACAGAATAATTGCTTTTTGTTTTTATCAGGTTAAAATTTGGAACTTGACCAAACGACAGTGCATCCGCACGATACAAGCCCACGAAGGCTTTGTTCGAGGCATGTGTGCCCGTTTCTGTGGTACATCATTCTTCACTGTAAGTATTCTGTGTCTCCTTAGCAGTGCAGCAGCACAGAGTACCTGCTCACCATCTGTTTTCCACTGAGAACCTTGCTCTCTGCCATAGAACATTTAAATATTGTATGACTACACTTATTAAATGTGTCGGTGAACGCGACAGTTCTATTTAGGATGAAGTTTTTTCTGATGCTGTGATATGGATGTCATTCAAGACCATCAAAGGGATAAATACCAGCAAAGAGCTAACAGATGGTCATGTAATTAAAACTCCAGTAAACTAGTTTTTGTTAAAGTAGTAAATGGATTGTGTTCATTGCAAGATGTAAAAAAGTTAAAAAGTAACCGTTTGCATATACATATACCATGTAAAAAAGTGACCATTTGCATATATTATGATTAATCTGATTAAGTTAAGATCATTTTTTATTGTTTTATAAAAAACCACAACAGGTTCAGTTGCATGTAAACTGCTTTGAAATAGTGTGTCTTCCTGTTGGCATTAAAACAGTTCGAAGACAACACAACAAGAAGTTGTTTTTGAAAACAGGAAGTGTCATGAGTTTGTGTTTTGTTTGAAGTGGTCATAGAAGAGCCATTTTCCC